AAATTTATATCCTTAGAACGCAAGCTAATTATTTGTGCCTGGGGGTGGTGGTAGGAGGTGGATATATTTATGTAGTCCTCACTGACTGAATTAATACATGAAATGAAAAGCTCTCATTTTTACATAAACATTGAGATTGCATAAATAGGCAGATAATTTTTTGCAAGGGGAGAGGAGGAGGAGGAAAAATTCTGATAGCAGTGAGAGTCTACTCTTTTTATCAGATTTCCCTGACTGTTTTGAGCAATTCAAAGCTAAATGAGTTCCCAGATATGTGTGTTACTCTGCCAATAAGTTGCATGCTACACTAAAACGAAAAGCAATTCTCCGGCAATGGAATTAAGCCGCACAAGGTTCATATCCATGTTCTTGCAAGACATAAGGATGTGAAATGTTTAGTGGTGCCAGCCAGGAATCCAAAGTCCTGAAAGAAGTATTAAATTGGGAATATGGCACCCATACCCTTGTCTATATGAGAGAGCAGGGCTTTATTGATTCCCCCACTCTCATTTGCAGCAGAGGGTGGGATGATGTTGGGATGCAGCTGGCTCCATTCTCTTTGTGTTGCCTTGAGAGCTTTAGGGAGCCGCCTATCCATAGCACATGAGATTAGAAAGATGGAAATAATGTGGCGGCCTAACAATGGTGCTCCACCTGCTCCTTTAATCTCCCAGGACTGGCTTGCCTGTAACAGCCCGTTCCCCGGCTAGAGTCATCACCAGACTGGATCAGGACCCGGGTTTTTATAGCAAAATCATTGGCTGATTATTGATCAATTTAGCCAGGCGTTAAACGCAGATGATGAATAGGAGACAGAATTCCCCCTCAAGCAAATATTGACTGCAATGGAAGTGGATTAAAGCTTCAGGACATCCAAGTTTTACTGTGTACCCTGTAATGCACCATATTCTTATCAGAAGTGCTTCATTTTTTATCTTCTATCTACAGTAGATGCACTCTGTAGCAAGGGCTATGTCTCTGTTTACCAGTCAACTTCCGGAGGAGGTCAATTCCATGATTCACCAAACACAGCAGGGATGGAAAAACCAGTTCCTGGGTATAGCTGAAACCACAACTTTTGGAACCAATGGCCATTTGTTGTAGTGACTGTGGCTGCTGGTAGTTGGAATTCAAGAACTTCAAGGTTTCTCATTCCAGGAAAACAGTAACAGGCAGTTGTAACTTCTGCCAAGATGCTATATTGATGTAAATCAATCAATGGGGATAAATAAATCAATGGAGAAAAAGCCCAAGCTGAAACATCATTTGAACCATTAAATATTGCAGGTGAGTACAACTGTGATCCAGATGTTCTTAAACTGCAATTCCTGACTTGGTCATGCAGGTTAGATAGGGCTGATAAGAACTAGGTAAAGGTTCGCCTCGCACATATGTGCTAGTTGTTCCTGATTCTAGGGGGTGGTGCTCATCAAGATGAAGAGCCAGCACTATACAAAGACGTCTCTATGGTCATATGGCCGGCATGGCTAAATGCCCAAGGTGCACAGAACGCTGTTAGATTCCCACCAAAGGTGGTTCCTATTTTTCTACTTGCCTGTTACATGTTTTCGAACTGCTAGATTGGCAGAAGCTGGGACAAGTAACAGGAGCTCACTCCATTATGCAACACTAGGGATTTGAACTGCCGACCTTTCTGATTGACAAGCTTAGCCACTGAGCCACCATCTTCCTTTTGATAAGAACTGCACCCCCCTAGTTTCAGATGGACTTCATGTAGTTCACGAGTATATCTCAAACTTCAGATAGACTTCATGTAATCCAATCCTTGTATATCTCAAACTT